GCCGGGCGGGCAGCTCTGAGCCTGCACCGTGCGCACTGCCCCTGAAGCATCCCCACCTGCCCCGCTTTCTGCTGCCACTCGGGCTCCAGCCCCCCCAGGGCCGCCCCTGCCTCGCTGTGCGCCCCTGGCTTCGCTGCTGGCTCCAGGCTGCTCCTAACGCGTGTCTGTCTGTGACCCAAAGCCAGTGCCGCTGCCCCTGCCAGCGCATGCGCCACGGAGCTCACGAGCCCACTTGCCCTTCCACGCCTCCATCTTCGAGCTCCAGGTCCAGGTGAGCGTCTGTGCACGGGGCTCCTGTCCCGCCTTCAGAGCTTTTGCACCTGCCTGGCTTTGCACCGCTGCCATCAGCTCTCCTGCCGCTCCGCCTGTGCCTCCCATCTGCACCCCCGGCTTCGCCGCCCCTGCCCCTGCTCTGGCCAGAGCCCTCGGCCCCTTTCCCTGCCCTGCTCTTCGCCTGCCTGTCGCCCAAAGCACAGGAGAGGCTCCCAGGAGCCAACGGGACGATCCTGCCCGCTCCGGCTTCACTAGGGCACGCGCTTGTCCCAGCCCCAGAGCCTGCCCTGACCCACGTGAGCATCCATGCACGGAGCTCCCGTCCTGGGCTTCATCTGCCTTCGCACCCGCCTCTTCCCCGTGGGTCCCGTTTGGTCTCAGCCTCCTCGTCCGCTCCCACTGTTGCTGCGCTCTCCTGGCTTTGCCCGCCCTCTGCCCAGTGCCCTCGCCCCGGCCCGTTCCCAGGCTTGGCCTCTGCATTGCCGAGAGCATGGGAACGGCTCCGCGGAGCCAGCTGAGCAAGGGCAGTGCTGGGGAAGGGAGCCCCGCTCTTGCTGCTCGTGCCCATCCCAGCCATGCTTGGGGCTTTGCTGGGGCCTTGGCTGCTGCTCTGGCGAGGGGATGGGAGGATCTGGGGGCCGGGGCCCAGCCTGGCACCTCAGCGCCAGGGGCTGGACAGAGCGGAGCTGCAGCCGACAGCCGCTCCGAGCCCCAGGTGCAGCCTCCTGCTCCAGCCCCTGGCGGCAGGGGGGTCCCAGCCCTCTCCGCATCCCGGGACCCACGCCGTCCAGGTGTCTTCTCTGCCCCGCGGCACCGGGGCCCTGGGCTCTGCTCTGGGAGGAGCCGGTCTGTGCACAGACCTGGCCCGGGCCAGCTCCCCATCCCCATCCCCATCCCTCCAGCCGTGCTGGGAGCTGACATCCAGGTGCTGCCACTGGCCCCCGGCGGCCCCGCTCCTAACCTGCCTCTCTCTGATTTAACGGAGAAGCCAGTGCCGTGCAGCGTGCCAGGCCGCGCGCTGCCCCGTGCTTCCCCCTCGGAGCCGGACCGGCCGCAGCCCGCCCAGCCCCAGCCCCAGCCCCAGGTGAGCACCTCTCCTGTGCCGCGGTCCCCCTCCCTGCTGCCCCCGAGACCCCAGGCCTCTCGTGCCTTTGCTTCTGCCTGGCGGTCCCACCGCGTCTTGCTGAGCCCCGACTGTCGCCGGGCAGCGAGCCCTGCGGTGCTGAGCTGTGGGCCGGTTCTGGGGCACGGCCGTCTGCCCCTCGCGTCGTGCGCCCCTCTCTGGTTGTGCCCGAGAAGCCGGCGCTGTTCAATGCAGCCGGAGACCCCGGTGTCGGCCTGGACCTAGCAAAGGGGGTGCAGCCGGGTAGCTCAGGTCTCTTCACGAAGCCGCGGGGCTGGCAGGGAGCTGCGGGGTTGCATCCAGCCCAGCCCCTGCCTGATGCAGGATCAGCCCCGTCCAAACCCCCCACCCCAGCAAACCCCGTGCCCAACCTTGCAGCTGCACGACACAGTCGCCTCTGACACAGCCCCAGGCATCGCCCCCGGCCCCGGGATGCAGGGGGGCTGTGGCCGCCAACGTCCTGCTGCTGCCGGGGGGTCGTGGGCGCTGCAGAGAGCCCAGGTTGAGGCAAAGGAAAGCAAAATCCCCCAGTCCAGACCAGTCTGAGCAGGGGGGAAATGCCCAGTGCAGCGTGGGGCTGAGCCTCCAGCCCGGACCCTGCGGGGTCGGTGCAGCAGGAGCCCTGGCACAGCCCAGCCCCGTCCCTAACACCCAGCGCCTCTGGGGGAGGCTTAAACCCCCTGCCACGTCTCCTCAGAGATGGTGCCAACGTGCTGTGCAGGGCAGGTCCTGGCAGCCCGTGTTAGCGGTGCCCGGGGCTGCCTGTCCCTCCTGCCTCGCACCACGCAGGACCCAGACGGGCAGGCCTCCCCTCGCTGCGGGACCGTCCTCCTGCGTGACACGGGTGTCCCCGGCCTGCGGCTGGAGAGGGGTTTCTGTCTGAGGAGCGACGTCCCGTGCCCTCCTCGGTCCCCAGGGGAACGCAAGGTGCTTCCCCCTCGCAGGACACAAGTATGTGGCCCTGCCGCCGTCCGGACGCGGAGCCCGGCTGCATCCTCGGGGACCCTCGTTACCTTCTCCATCTCATAAACCACGGCCTGGGCTTCCCTGGTTCCCGACACGCTTTAAAAAATGCCGTATTGGCCACAGCTCTGCCAGCCTGGGACGTGGCCTTTCCCCCGGCACGGCCCTTCAGGGCAGGGTGGGATAGGCAGCAACATCTTCATCATCACCTTCCCTTCTTGGTCCTCTGCGCCGCGGGGCTTCTCCCATGGGTCGGGGCCAGGCCGGTTCCTCCTCTCCCCGGGTCTCCGCGCTGCACGCCTGTTTCTGACGGTCGCCGTCGCTCTTGCACGGAGGCAGGAAGGGCCCAAGGCCAAGCTGTTCTCTTCTTTGGTTGCGGAGCTGTGGCTTTGCGGCCGGCTCGGGAACGCCTCTCGGTTCCTCTTTCTCTGTCTGGATCGGGGCTGATCGCTTGTCCGCGTCCCGAAGCCGTCACCGGTAGTTCTTGGGCCGTCTGGTCGGCGAGAGCGCGGGACCCGCAGCCGTGCCCCCCCGGAGGACCTTGTGTTTCTGCCCCTGTGGCGCGGG